TCCTCCAAGAATTCTAATAAGAATGCTCGATTGGCTCAGATTTTGACAGTTCATTTGGCTCAGAACATTCTCTCCGCTCATCTCTCCCTCTGAGTATTTCTACTCTGGACCAAGGTGCCTACATATAGGTGTTCTAATGTGTCAAATTGATAATTCAGCCATGTTGGATTTTTGTATGGGACAGCGACCGAGTTTGTTTACAATTTGCTCTAAAACCGCACTTTTCCCCCCCGCGACCTCCTCGTCTATATAGTGACAAAGCTGTATCACCATTTATATACCCACCATGCTCTGGACCATCGGAATTGTACCGAGGGTGCATTTGGTTGACTTGCCAGCTTCAATCTTCCGTTTATGTCCGTCTTCCAATCTTCCTAGTGAAGGTAATAAACAACTATCTATCGAACAGGATGTTCCGAGTCTCTCTGAATGGCATCACATCGGATGCTTTCAACATCGGTGTCGGGGTTCCACAAGGAAGTATCCTTGGCCCCATTCTATTCAACCTGTTCACCTCCGATATGCCGACTCTCCCTGATGGTGGATCGTTGTCTCTGTTCGCAGATGACACATCCATCGTCTACAAGGGTAGGGTCATCGGAGCTCTGAGTGCCAAACTTCAGAGAGGCCTGGACGTCTTGTCTGAATATTTCAACAGCTGGAAGATCCGTATCAACGCGGCAAAGACCAAGGTCACCATCTTTCCACACTCAAGATCTCCCAGACTTGTTCCGTCTGAGAATAATAAGATCTGCTTAAATGGCTCAGTGGTGGAATGGTCGAAAGAGGTCATGTACCTCAGGCTAACACTAGACAGCGAGCTTCTTTTCAGGGAGCACGTTGACAAAACCAAAACCTTGTCCAAATCTTTGTATCCACTCATCAACAGGAGGTCTACCCTGTCCCTGAAAAATAAGCTTGCTGTCTACAAACAAATCATCCTTCCCGTAATAGAATACGGGATGCCAATCTGGGAGAGTTGTGCCAAATGCCATCACCTCAAACTCCAAAGGATCCAGAACAAGATCCTTGGGATGATCCTTAACAGTCCCCCGCAGACTAGAAATTCTGAGGTCCACCGCCTGGCTGGTCTTCAGACACTGGAGTTACGGAGAGCTGACTCCATCGCAAGGTTCAGAGATTGCTGTAGGCGATCCGATCAACAGAACAGAAAATTGAAAAACATTACACAGTAAAACACAACATGTACACATGTACAACACAAAATCAAAAAATTCACCAAAGATGAAGAGCCCTTCTGGCTAACCTCTTGCCCTGTATACAGTTTTTTGACGTTTAATCAGCGCACACTACTGCACCATTTAAATCGAACGGGGAGCAAGAGGGAAACAGATTAATGGGAAAACAAACCGTGCATTCATCCATGTGTGCTAGATCGAGAAAGTCGACTAAACGTCAAAAAGGTCTATTAGCAATTGTAAACCACATAACAAATCAAAATAACTACTACTACTACTACTACTACTACTACTACTACTACTACTACTACTACTACTACTACTACTACTACTACTACTACTACTAATACTACTACTACTACTACTACTACTACTACTACTAGTACTTCCGTTTATGTCCAGTGAAATAATGTAGTTAACGAAACCTTTGCTTATGACTCGACGAGGAATCCAGGACTTGGTATATCTGTGATGCCCCTCAACATAGACCAGGTCTTTGAACTCACGCTTGACTACTCCATTCCGACGGTTAAACTGTTCGTTTTGTTTGTGGTTTTTGGCACCTTGAGCTATAGGAACAGATTTCTTCAAAAGGTCCAAAGTGGTGCCGAGAAATGCTTCTGCTGGAGACGTTGATTACGGTGTGTTTCGGTTTGGAATTAGGCGATACATCGAAAGGGATGTCTGCAAGTGATCCAGTGTGGGCGAGCCTTCCCTCTTGCTTAAGGTCCGTTTAGACTATCTGATTTCTTTGTCTGATTTTGACCGCCGCCATATTGAAAAAACTGCTCGATTTTACTTTCGACACACTTTGTCGAACTCCCGTGTATGCTGGTGTTCACACTGCTTACACATGTCGAAAGAATTGTCAATTTAGATTTCAAAACAAAATTGTATCCGGAATCAAAAGTGAACGCTTCCATAATGAATTACCGAAAATTGCTCTATAGCTTTGGCAGGCGTATTTGCTTTTATTATTTTAAATAAAATGAGAAAGAGAAGGTGAATTTTGTGGAGTAGGAAATGGTTGCTCAGAGGGAACACCAGCAGGGATCTGGCTCATCTTGTCCTTCAAGAACTGCGATATTAAGACTAAAAAGGATTTTCAAAGCTTAGCCAGAATGTCAATACCAACTTTCGACAAGCTAGTGGGAAAAGTTCTCTATAGATCTACATGCATGATTCCATGAGCTCTGAAAATTTCTGTTAAGATCTCAATTCTGCATATTTCTCTGAAGACCTTCGGACGTCCCTGAAGTTTTATATCTGTTCGCTGGTAAAATATCTTCGAATATCAACAAACTTTCCTGAAGATCTGTAAATTTTCCGGTAGTTCTGCAGATTTCTTAGAAGTCCTGTGTGTCTTTAGAAGATCTGCAAATTTCTCTATACAAAGTTCCAGAATCCAAGCAGATTTAAGATTCTTAAATATCAACAGTTATCTCTGATGATCACTATTATATAATTTTCTCTGTGGATTATCATGATTTAATTAATATCTGCAAATATCTCTGAACATCTACGCAATTCCCTTAAGTATAAAAAAATTATCAAGAAATTTTTTAGCTTCATGGAAATTTAAGGAAGTTCTCTGAAGATCTACTAATTTTTCTGAAGTTGTGCAAATATCTATAAAGATCAGCGAACTTTCCAGAAGTTCTGTAGATTTCACTTAAAATCCAAGAACCTCAATTAAATTCTACAGATTTTTCAGTAGATCTTCTCTAAAGTTCTGTATATTGCTTTGTGGATTCTTGGACTTCCATGAAGTTCTGCAGATTTATCTGAAATTTCTTTAAATTCCTTAAAGCTCTACAAATTATCTGAAAATATTTGGATTTCTCTGAAGTTGTGTAAATACTTCTAAAGATCGGTGAACTTTCCAGAAGTTTTGTGAGTTTTGCTGAAGTTTTGCATTTTTTTTTTCTAAAAATATACAAACTTCCAGAAGTTCTACAGACTTCTCTTCAGGCTTACGGACTTTTCTGAAGTTCATCAGATCTATCGATTTCCAACTTACATGGAGTTCTGCAAAATCTTGGACTTTCGTACTTCATTGAGATTTGTTTTTGGAATTGAAGTACTTTTCTGAAACACTGAATCACTGAATGTCTCTGAAGATCGACAAAATTCCTTGCAATTCCACAGATTTCTCTAAATATCTACTCTCTACTACTACCCTAAAGTTCTGCAAATATGTTTAAATTTCTGTAAAGTTGTCTGAAGCTCTGTAGTTTTATTCTCAATATCTACGAATAACATTGAGGCTCAATACATTTCTCAGTAGATCTACAAACTTGTCTGAAGTTTTGTAAATTCCTCTGTAGGCTCTCGGGCTACCCTGAGCATCTGAAAATGTTCCTGCAGATCTTCTAAATTACCTAAAGTTCTCCAAATGTATCTGAAAATATTTGAGCTGTCTGGCATGCTTATTCTTATATAATATATAATTCGTTTTGTTTTGTTGACGGCCAAGCACACTGGAAAATAAAAATCAGTCAAATTATACACATTGAATAGCGATAGATTTCATCAAAACACAAATCAAATCCTTGAAATATTAGGAGAAAAAAATAATCAATATTTTCATTTCACTTACGGCTATTATGCTGAATGAGTCGAATGATAATTAACCACAAACTTATTACGTTCGACAAATCAAACGTCAAATCCTGAGTACTGCGGAGTAAATCGATTTCATTTTACAAGCCAAAAGCTCTGAGCCAGGAGTGCTGAGTCATAAAAACTATGCTGGTTTTTATACTTTCATCATTGAGCCTGTTGGTTTTTGTCTTTGAGCTTACAATTAAGAATGTGTTATGAAAAAGTATGAATCATTTTTATGAGATTGCAATGCTTGACGAGAGGTAAGAACAGTAACTGAGTTTGTTGCTTCTGAATGTTTGGCTCCCGTTTGACAGTTCTGACTGGCTCCCAAGTGACAAGCACATTGCGTGAGTCCGCAGTAGCCAGGTCAAATCTAATCATCATGTCGAAAAAGTGTCAACGCATTCGAACATTGCATCCGACAAAATTATCGAGCAGTCCGCTCGAATCACCAAATGTTGAAGAAAATAAATTGTTTTTTTTTTTTCTTTTATAATTTAAACCCAAGTCATAGCTCTCATTTGAATCATGGCATATTTTTTCCTTGTTTAGTGCTCTCTAAAAAAATTCTCTGAAAATTTAATAATAAATGGTGTAATAGTTAACTTACAGCTGTGTGTGCCATTTTTATCGAATACACCCTTTATTTACGAGAAATTAACGATTGACGTGTCTAAAAGGAGTGGAGTCTAAAACTGACCACGTGAAATGTGGACAGCCCCTAACTGGCATTAAGCACCTTCCCTGAATAATGATTTTGCATATTTTTTTTTGGCGTTGTAGCAATATCGGAAATCTGAATCATTCTCGATTTAAACAAACAATTTTACGCAGATTCGTTCGCGTATAACGCGTATAACCGTTTCGATCAGCCCCTTAAATATCTTGAAATGGGACTTATCTGAAACATGCCATCAGTGGAGGAATAACCTAATTTTCCGAACCATTTATATAGTAATTTTGATCCCCTCAAGGAACGCATCAGTATACGTATGATGATCCGCTAGAATTGCGTCCACGCGATTCGATGGGAGGAAAATGACCCACTTGAGTCCTCCCCTCCGGAGTGCCATCAATGCTCAAATATAATTCTTATCGAAATGCGTCCCCAACCAACCAAACGTCACTGAGCAATTTTCTTCTTCCTTTTCCGCTATTCCACCGTGTCCGTTCCGCACACCCGGACGCATGTAGGCAAACCGGAGATTGTGACCGAGCCGAAAGACATCGAGATAAGCTACGGGCAGACGGCCGTGTTCAGCTGCAAAGCCATCGGCGACCCCCGGCCGGAAATTGTGTGGATGCTGGATGCGAACGAAATCCACTCGGACGATACGCGGATCAACGTGCTCCCGGATGGGTCCCTGCGGATCGATGAGGTCACCGCCAACGATGCCGGCCAGTACGAGTGCATGGCCAAGAACAACATGGGCGAGGTGCAGTCCCGTCAGGCACGGATGATTGTCAATAACGAGGTCATCGAAACCGAGGCGGAGGCACCGAAATTCATACAGACACCACCGGCCGAGCTGGACCTGCTCGAGGGTCTTCCGCTGGTGCTGCATTGTGTCGTTTCGGGTGAGTGTTGTTTGGATTAAATGTAAACGGTACATAAAGGTTGACTATGGTCTGGCGGAAATTCGCTCCTTGCAACGGACAATCGTCAGTCGGGGGAAATCAACCCCGGCGAAGTTATTGCAGCTTCATTCTGAATTGGTAGTAATTTTCCGTCGTTTCTCTATTTTTATCCCGTTTCTTATCCCTCAGGGGCGCCCACGCCGAGCATTCTGTGGAAATTTAATAATCAAAACATTCAGAACGGCCGCATCAAGCTCTTCGGAAATGGGTCACTGATTTTGCCGGCAGCCTCGCTGGATGACGGCGGAGTGTACAGCTGCTACGCCGGAAATGCGATCGGAAACGTGTCCGTCAATGCCACCGTACATGTCAATGGTAAGTGTGGAATGGGATTTGATAGAAGCACGAACTTTCCGGTGAATAATATTGTTCTGTTTATTATAAATATAAAACGAGAGTTTGGCAATTCCATTAATCTTGAATGCTAACAGTAAATGTAATATAGCAAGACTCATGGGGGACTCACTGTATTTCTGCGGATTTATGAGAATGCGATTAACTTTTCTGTCTGATAATATTCGTGATGAGAACTCTTTCACTGGTAGGTATCTTTGGGTTCATCCTTACTCCACACAGGCGTCGTGAGACATGAATATTGTCAGTTGTAGCGGTTTTGTCCCTTTCATCGGGCAGGGAGTCCAAGATGGTGGTTTCATAGATAATTAACTGATTAAAACTTAAATATCGACAAGTGAATTGGAATATGTATTCAGAGGACCGAAGCAGGCCGTGCTGCGAATGTGACGTGTTTTTGTTTTGCTATTTTTTGTCTATTATAATTGATTTTATCCAGGGGAAATGTTGTCTTCGGCAATACCTTAACCTATTATCGTCAGGGGGTAAAAAAACGTCCTTGAGAACTCAATTTTGGCATGTGGATACATTATGATTCAGAGCATCTATAGGCCTGAGTGCTCTAGGACTTTGTTTACCTCCCTGACGATCATAGGTTAAGGTATTGCCGAAGCCAACATTTTCCCCATCTAAGGCTGTGAACCATTTGCCGAGTTAAATTTAACTCGTGGTTAAAAGTGACATTTCGAAAGTTATTTTCTATGTTCGAAAATCCCTGTGCTGTCGATCGACCGGTTTTCGAGAAGAACTCAGCCAAAGTTGTCAAAATTTAACTTCTTGTCTGTCAGAAGTAACCAAGCTCGGATAGCAGGGTCAATCGATAACTTTCCATCTGTCAAATTTTAACCAAAAGTTAAAATAATCCACCAAATGGTTCAGAGCCTAAGGCTGTGAACCATTTGCCGAGTTAAAATTAACTTGTGGTTAAAAGTGACATTTCGAAAGTTATTTTCTATGTTCGAAAATCCCCGTGCTGTCGATCGACCGGTTTTCGACCCACGGTTGTCAAAATTTAACTTCTTGTCTGTCAGAAATAACCATACTCAGATAGCAGGGTTCATCGATAACTTTCCATCTGTCAAATTTTAACCAAAAGTTAAAATAATCCACCAAATGGTTCAGAGCCTAAATTAAGACAAAGCAATTGATTTAGTCAAGGGGGGGCGTTGACTGTCAAATACGAACAATCGTCGCCTACCTCGCATAACTAGTTCCAAACGACAACAAGAAACGATGGTTTGTTGATGTTTGGAACCAAATTCACATATGGAAAATCAATGAGCGTAAACAGGTTAGGAGCAGAGACGTTAAATAGAGACACGCATACACTGAAGCAAGAAGAACCAAACGAACCGTCAAACGCTGAACCAAACGAGCAAAGTAAATAAACATTACTGTTCGCTCAATTCACCAGAAGGGGTATTGTTCTCAATGATGATAAAGGTGTTTAATAATTTTCACGAAATATTTGATATCTGTTATTTCAAGCGTAACTATTCAAATCGACGTGTCTGCTTTTGTAAATAATCACTTCAATAAACGATGTGTCTAAACTGCTAACTCACCCACGCAAACAAACACCATCTTTTCCCTACTAGCTGATGTTGTTAGTTTCTGTGAGTGAGCTAGCAGTTGCCTCAAATCGTCGATTGAAGTGATTGTTTACAAAATCAGATACGACGATTTGAATAGTTACGCTTGATTTATTTATTTATTGTTGGTTCAATCAAATACAACATTAAATAGTGATAAAAAAAATCGAATTGGAACGTTTTATTTAGTTTTGTGGTAATAAAAATGATTGCGCTGCAAGCAAAACAGTAATTTATGACAAAAATTATACTGTCATGGAGCGACTGTCATCTCTCGCCTTCGCTTTATTTGTGCAAAATGTTGCCGCGCACTTCTTTTTTATTCAGTTCCGGTCGAACGTTGAAATTTTCTCAACAGCATTGCGGCACTGTATGAAAGTCATTTGAAGCCACTCGAAGAAACATGGTTGCCAGTGACATTGTCAAACGATCCCTCAAAAACCGTGCTGTGGTTTCGACAGAAATTTTCATTGCGCGTCTCTATCAACGTCTCTGGTTAGGACCAGTGAATTTGTTGTCTCTTTCGTTATTCGGTTGTTTAAATGGAATACGGAGTCACACTCGTATAATCATTTGAAAAGCGGGAGAATGAAAGAGACGGCAAATTCACTGCGCCTTACCTACCTACCGCCCCATGGATTTAATAACTAAACGCGTTTTAAGGGCCCATGCATTAGTTATGTCACGCTAAATCGAGCAAAAAATTACCGCTGCCATAAAATAGTAACTACGCTACACACCTGTGTATAATCCTTATGGGCGTAGTTGCAGCGCACTTCGACCGTCACCAAATGAGAATTTAACATAAGCGCGACCATACATTTTTACTACTTTCTACTTCACTACAGTGTTCGCAGATAGATGGAAAATCACAACATATCTTGCTTTCTTTCGACAAAATGATACATACATATAAAGATTGATATATCCGGAGAAATTTGAGATTTGGGATAAAAGAACACTCTCGTGACCAGGCTTGCTTCCACTCACTTGCTATAAAAACATGATTTTCTGAATTTTGAAATCATTAGATGTTATAATCATATTTTGTACTTGTTAGACACAAGAAGAGACTGAAAGGCAAGTGTTTGACACATAAAAGCTGTCAAATTCGCTTTCATATAGTCACAATCAGCGATCTTACGACTCGCGAGCGCTCACTATGAGTGAACGCTCACGAATCATATAATCGCTTATTGTTACACTCTGGTAGCGAAATTGACAGGTTTTATGAGTCGAACACTTGCCTTTCATCCGCTTCTTGTATCTAACAAGTACAAAATATCATTATAACATCGAATGATTTCAAAATTCAGAAAATCATTTTTTTTATAGCAAGTGAGTGGAAGCAACCCTGCTCGTAAACAAACTATACCAAAAGATAGAGGAACCATTCATCTACCTGGTTGTGTTGTTAGTTTTTTAGATTGAACTTTAATTCGCGAGAAATCGTTAAATGAAGTGTTTGTTTACAAAAGAAATTACGCCCTAATCTCGAAGTTCTCTGGATTTGTAAATAACACTTGTCAAACGTCCATCGTGTATTCTTCAAAACGTTTAGGTCGAACCCTGTCTCGTCGAGGTCTTTGTCTGGCTTCATCGGGTTTCCTGGGTGTCCTCGACTTGCAGATCACTTTGGTTCGAGGGCTACCTGAAATGCTTGACATGAGAAGTGTTACGCTTGTAGATTTGTCCTTCGGGTGTTTCCATTCGAAGACTATTCTCTCGACGATCAATTACCCGAGCTGACGTCGGCAGGAAAGCTGTCTCCAACTTGTTCTGTGAAACCATGTTCTTCATCAACACTTCGTCTCCTGCGCACTTGTGTTTCCTTAGCACCGACTATCCTGTCTCTGTTTTCCTTTGCGTTGAATTTTGCAGTGCGATCTCGGTTTCGCATTTCTTCATCATCAACTATATCGGCACGGAAATGAGGGATCAGATCTCGGAATCTCCGACCTCCATCAGCTGCGCGGCTGCTACATTTGTCACGGATTGAGGAGTCAAATAATACATGTATACCTAAGTAATCTTGCAAGGCTTTCTTCCAATCTGTTCCTCGTTGCTTGCTTATTTTGAGTACCTTAAGGATGGAGTGGTTTTGCCGCTCAACTTCGCCGTTCGTGCTTGGCCAGTATGGGGTCGTATGGGTTAACTTAATTCCGTAGTCAACACAGTAATCGTTTAACTCTTGACTAGAAAAATTCTTCCATTATCTAATGTCAGCGCGAATGGACCCATCCTGGTGAAAATTCCCTTCAAAATCTGTATCACGACAGTCGAAGTGGTACGAGTCATTGGTTCGACTATATAGGTCAGCGTGAACAAACAGGTAGTACCCATTCGGTAATGGCCCAAGAAAATCTCCTGCCAGACGGACCCACGAAGACGTCGGAAGTTCCTTGGTGTGAAGTGGTTCAGGCCTAACGAACGATGCAACCAATTGACATTCAGTGCACTGCTTACAACATTTCTCCACATCTGCGTCGATACCAGGCCACCAAACAGCTGCACGGGGCCTTCGCTTCATTTTCTCTCGACCAGGATGCCCAATGTTAATTACCACAATCAGTCTTGTAAGCGGTCACCGTAGTCGACACATTTTCTGTGATAATCGACTGCCTTTGCTTCCGACACTTGCCAAACAAGCTATCAAATTACAGTACCAAACAAAAATGTCATACGACACTGTCGCCGAAGAAATGGTTTAATTTACACCAAATTGAGGAATTAGAACGAAATCACACATGTCATATGATAGTTATTTGATAAATTTCTTTTTGCTCGAATGTTGTTCTACTGTTTGCGTTGAGTAGGAGGGACAACGGTAGAGCATGAGAGTATGAATACAAAAAGAGTGTCGCGCACGACAACGAAGCGAGTGTAGTTAAAAACGTCAACAGTTTCAACCCATGACCAAAATTACCGTTTCTCTAAGCTTCTAAGGGACAACGATACGATCCTTCCTAAAGATCACTTCCTTGGCAAAAACCAACTCAACCAACAACCAACCAACTTGAATGGGGCCTATTTCTTTATCATTTTGAAAAGCCTTCCTAACACCCTGTATTTCGGGAACCTCCTCGGAACCACGGATTATATCAGTCATATTTACTGCTGCCCAGTGCGCAAAACAGTCAGGTTCAATGAGTCATTTTCATATGAATATGAACTGCCATCTGCCTCATCATTCGCTGCCTTGTGAGAGTCTGAATGATTGAGAGGTAAACGAGTCACTGACAACCGAGCACTCAGTCTGTTCGTGAGTGACTGAATGTTTTTGTTGGCTCTTTCATTGCCTCGTCCTTTACCGTTTGCTACAAACGGTCCCGGCGCCGGTGGTGGAGTGGTAAGCGTGACTGCTTTCTA